TGCATACCCTCCAGAGATGGTCCTGATTAATCATCTGACTTTTCCAGTTGCTTTTAAAATGTCCCGGTTTCTCTCACTTCCTCCCACTTTCCCCTCAGTTTACTTCCATAGGTGCAAACTGAGTTCAAAGTACAAAAAGTAGTTTGTACTCAGTTAACTCAGCCCTGGGGGAGAGGACAGGAGGAGGCAGCATCTTGCCCTTCCCAGGAGACTTAGGCAAAAGCAAGCTGGCAATGGAAATAAGCTTGCATGCTGTTCCTTATCAAAAAATCTTGCCATCTTGACCCCACTCTGATCACACATATCCTGATATTCACCTGCAAAATTTTGGAGGGTATGTCATTAGACCAACATGGCTTCCCCTGTGGATATGGCCTAGCATGTTGACTTGATCCAATAATGGTCCCCTTCCACTTTCTGTCCTGAATTAAAAACACACTCTGAATGATATAATAGCAAACATCTCCTCAATCCAATCTGGCTTCTTCCTGGTAGTTCTACATGCCTGCCTTTTTTCACTTCAGCCCCACAGTTCTTGAACACCTGCAGGACCTGACCTCACAATGTATGCAGAGCATCTTTGCTTCCTTGCCAAAGCTGGTGTTACATGTGACACCAAAGCATAGAAAGAATGAGTCACTGACACATCCTCTTTCCACACTTCTGGAATCTCAAGTCAACAGGCATGACCAAGCTTGGGCCAAGTCATTTTGTTGTCTGAGGTCTAGGACAAGATGGCAACCTCTCCCCATCCCACATACAGAAACTGGATTGGCAGTTGAAACTTCCTCCAGTGCTGGTTATGTGACAGTGTTTTCCACCACACCTGAAGCAGAAAGGACTCATCATGTAGCACACACAGCTTTGTTCTCCAACAGAGGGAATTTCTGCCAGGAAGATGGAGAGGAAGAGCCATGAGATTGCCAGTGATGCTCCCAGCATTTGGTGCTGGAGGCACTTGTGCCTAATTGCAGGGCTGAGCCTTGGAATACTTTTTGGCCAGATGTCATAACATCTCTGTTATTGAAATCCAAGAACTACAAAAGAACTGGGGGTTGGAGAGGTAGGCTGGATAGACAGGATGATCAGATGTTCTCCTTTTCTATGACATGTCCTTCCTTTCATCCTTTGGTCCAGGAAGAATTCCAAAATGTCCTCCATTTTGAGCATGACTAACAAGCCCATTAAGTAGCACCATGTTTGCTGTTCCTCTCTGAGAAATTTGTCTACTTGGCAGCCTATCCTCACTGCAAATAGGGGAATAGAATGGATCCTTCTAAGGTTCTTCTTTCCTAAAACCAGCAGCAAACAAGACTTGCCCCAGAGCTCAAGGCATGTTTGTTTCTCGGAGGGGAAAAGGACAGCAAACATGTTAGGCAATGGGCTGCTTGAGGACCCAATGCAAATATTGAAAGGACTTTTTCCCTAATTTCAGCACAAGCCAATAAGCCTACAAGGCATTTTAACAAAGGTATGTTCATCAGAAAAATATAGATGAGTACATGAGAGCCAGTGTGACATAGTGGTTTGAGTGTTGGACTGTGACTTTGGAGACCAGACATTGTTTTCCAGCTCAGCCATGAAACCTTCTGGGTGATCTTAGTCAAGTCACACTCTCTCAGCCTTAGGTCAAGGCAATGGCAAACCTCCTCTGAACAAATCTTGCCAAGAAGAATCCAGGATAGATTTGCCTTAGGGTCACCTTAAGCTGGAAATAACTTGAAACCTCACAACAGCAAACATAATAAAATATAGTACAGTCATGGTGAATCTGTTCCAGACCCCCACGCAAAAATGGAGAATCACCAATATTCAAGTGCCATAGGCTTGAATGGGGCATGTCCCTGCACCTGCATATGGGCATGCGCCTGCAGGGGCACATCCCATTGATTTTAATGGAGGTTGCCCCTCTGGGAATATTCAAAACCATGGACCTCAAGTCCATGAGAATGGAGGGGCAACTGTATATATAATATAGATGTAAAGAAACTATATGAAATTAAATCATATTGATGTTAGTGTTTTTAGCTTTATTTTTGTAATTTTTTTTTAAATGTCATATATGTTGCAGTGTCTTGTCTTCCTTTGCAGTTATGACATCTGGTCATCCTGGAACTATTTCACTTGGTTGAGTTTGCCCTTTGGAAGGGCCTATGGATTGGCTTCTTTCATTATTCCCAGGTCAGAATGGACACCTTGAATTGATCTCTGCTGTGTAATTAACCCCCATTGAACTTCACCAAGGTCTTTAGGGACCTGTTTTTCTCTCCCCACTCCTTCTTTAAAAGCCTCCTAGAATAAGAAAAACCTTTATACTCCGAACACAGTCTCTCTGTTTCTTCTCTTTCCTCTCTGCAGTGGCCTCTAAGATTACAAACATTACATTACAAACAACACTGGGGCTGCAGTTATGTGCGCGGGTTTCAAGACAGGGGGGAAAAGGGAAACACTTATGAATTTAGCAATGAGCTGCCTTTCATACACGCACCCCCTGTTTGATATAGAACCATTGAGCAGTTAATTATTTCAAGATATGAGTTAAAAGCAAGCAGACGCACAGAAGAGGAAAACAATAGCAACAAAAATTGGGCACCAAATAAAGATTCAGCTCCCCCACTATTCCCCCTCCCTACTTCAAAGTCATGGTAGTCAACAACAAAGCGGCAGTTGTAGTCCATCTGTGGTGGAAACAGGTGATCTGAACTGTTAGGAGGAGAAAAAACACCCCCGTTTCCACGAGGGAAAGGAGATGTCGCATTAAATAGACCTGGTGAGCCACATGTCTTGCCTTCAGAAACAGTGATGGACTGCAAACTAAAATTAAAATGCATGTATTTTATGCATTTTATTTTTATTCTGGGGAGGATATTTCAGCTGCCTTTCAGGACTAAAGTCCTCCTAAGATTTTTAGTAGTACAGTTCCACATTTGCTGGATTTAGGGGTGAAGGTGAATGTGGGGGAAAATGCAAATAAAAGAACTCTGTTCTTTTTACCTAACAGAACACTTCTCTAGGAATCTCCAGGTCCTCCAGTGCAACTCTATGGTCAACATCTGCCAGAGGTTGATCATAGAATCATACTGGAGGACCTACAAGTGCCTAGAGAAGTGTTTTCTCTAGGAATTTCTAGGTTCTCCAGCACAATTCTATAGTCATCTTTCAGCAGAATTGCATTGGAGGACTTAGAGATAAAGTGAACATATTAAAGTGAACATAATCAAAACCACAAATAATCAAATCCACAAACGTCAAAGCCACAAATGTGGAGGGCCAACTGTATGAGGAATTGATCTTGCATCCATGTTATCCTCACAATAACCTCCCCAATCAGGTAAGAAAGATGATTTTATCAACTAGAGTTGTCAGATTTCTGGGGCTGCCCCCTTTTCTCCAGTTCTCAGGCCAAGGTGGAGAAATCTCAGGGTGAGAACACATTGGACAAAAAAAGGTGTGCACAAATATATTTTCCTTATTTGTTAGATTATAGTGTTTGTTGTTTGAATGGTATATTCTGTGCTTCTGTGGTTGATGCTTAAGGTCTCATGCTTAATGACATCACTCATAGTTAATGACATCACTCATAGTTAATGACATCACCAGGGCTCATATACTGTAACATACAAGAGGTCATCTCTAGTTCTCAGGTTTTAATCCTGGAATTTCAGGCTTGAGATAATACTGACCTGGCAACCCTATTCACAAGCAGTGAGACTCATGACTAAGGGCCCTTTCACACTGTGCCAGTTTAGCACTATGATTCCATTAACTGCTATGGCTGCATCCCATATCATCCTGGGATTTGTAGTTTGAGGGAGGCAATAAAACCCTCTGGCTGAGAATTCTAAATTCCCTTACTTGTTATAGACTGGCATTTGGTATTGGAGTTATGGACACATCTCTTCTGGCAGACCTACCCAATTTTAAATCATGACCTTTTAATTTGTGTGTGTGTGTATATATATATATATATATATATATATATATATATATATATATTGTTTTAAAAAAGTACTCATACAAGTGTATTTTCATGGATTTATAGCAGGGGTCAGCAATGTTTTTTTACCGGGGGCCGGTCGCTGGTCCCCAGGTCTTCTGCCGGGCCGGGGGGGGGGGGAATGGCAGTGCACATGCACAGCCCCCATGACCCCCGCTGACCCCCGCCGCCGCTGCGCGCACTGCCACCACGTGCATCGCAGCTGCCATTTTGTTTTCCAAAATGGTGGCCGCTGCTTGTTCGCACATGCGTAGGAGTACATGTGCAAACGAGTTGCAGCCGCCATTTTGGCAAACAGAATGGCAGCTGTGATGCACGTGCATTGGTGGTGGGGGTTGGCGGGGGCCGGTCGGCAGTGGTCCACGGGCTGGGTGCAGCCCGCGTGCCGTAGGTTGCCGACCCCTGGTTTATAGTATTGTAACTGTTGGTTTTACGTGCTTTATTTCTTTCTTTTCCCTTTTTTAAATTGTGTTTTGTATTTTAACACGTTGTACCCAGCCTCGAGCCTTGAGGAGAGGTGAGAAATAAATAAAATAATGATAACGATAATATTATAATTCTCATAACTGCTCCACATTATGCTCCACTACATAGTCATACTATATGACTAACAAATGTCCCACCCGAATAGTCACCAGCTGAATTGGGGAAGGAGGTTTGTTCAGCTGCAGATTGGGGCACAAGAAAGATATTTCCACCCGCTCCTACCAGCGAGTGAGGCTGTGATGATAAGACATGGGGATCCCTGTTGAAATCCTTTGTTGCAGCCTTGGTTGCAGGCAGGATGGAGACAGAAACATCATCCTCTTTGCACCTTCACCTGCAGCATAATAGACTTCTTCACCTGATCTAGCTATTGGCTGTCAAGGTAGGTTGGGTGGGCATGTTTAGTAATTATGTAATTAATGGCTACATAACTAAAGTAGCCAGTGTTGAATATCAGTGATGGTATTGACATAATAATTTGTTACTGTTATTCTTTACAATCTTTAAGAAGTAACTTGCCAGCATGGTATAGCGGTTTGAGTGCTGAACTACGACTCTGGAAACCAGGGTTCGATTCCCCATTTGGCCATGAAACCCACTGGATGACCTTGGGCAAGTCACATGTTCTCAGCCTCAAGGAAAGGCGATGGTAGACCTTCTCCTCATCTGAACCACTGGGAGGCAAGGTGGATAATCTCTCCTTCCACTACTGCATATTCATTTCTCTCATGTCAAAATGGTGTGAAGATAAGAATAGAACAGAATCTTTATTACAGGTAAAAACACAAGTTAAAAACTGTATTTAAGATATCCTTTCAGAATACACAACTCCATGATAGCAAGACAAGATTGGTAGTAGTCTACTGCGGAGGCTATTCCCTGACGAATTTTGACCGCAGTTACACAGAATATGAAGATAAGATTCTCTTCTTACTTTCAGTAAATACTAATCTCATAGAGGACTGCTGTGGTATAATGGTTTGGACACTGGACTAGACGGAGACCAGGGTTCGAATCCCAACTTGCACATGGAAACTCACAAGGGCTGCATCTGCACTGCAGGAATAATCTGGTTTGGCACCATTTTAACTGCCATGGCTCAGTGCTATGGAATTCTGGGAACTGTACTTTGTTCCAGGGCTCCACCCTGGTGCTGCAACAAACTACAATTCCCAGAATTCCATGGCAGTGAGCCATGGCAGTTAAAGTGGTGCAGATGCAGCTTGGGTAAACTTGGGCAAGTCACAATCTCTCAGCTTCAGAGGATGGCAATGGCAAACCCCCTCAGAACAAATCTTGCCAAGAAAACTCTAAGTCAGAAATGACTTGAAGGCACACCACCACCATCACCACTACCACCACCAATCTCATAAAGCAAAGAAAGAACTGAAGTGAACAAGTTCCCCCCCAGGCCACATTGCTGAGCTTCATCTGAGCCACTGGGAGGCAAGGAGGGAAAAATCTCTCCTTCCAATGCATATTCATTTCTCTCACATGTCAAAGTGATGTGAAGATAAGAATTTTTAAATTATATTTTTAAAACCAAAACACAGGCCATAGACATACCACAGGTAGATAAGATCTAAAATAAATGCCTCCCTGGAGTAGAAATTAATTAAAACAAGTGAGAAATGGGGCTGAGTTGGGTGGAATCAAGTGATAAAAACAGAGGAGGTTGTAAAATTTATCGTAGTGGCCTAAATCTGATGGTTGGTCACCTTGAATAGACTCACTGAATCAACAGAATTTGCCAAATGCCTACTAATTCTAATCTAGTTGGGACTAATGATTGGCTTTAGGCCATATACAGAAATCATACAGTCCACCAAATATTGTTGGACTGCAGCTCCCATTATCCCTAGCAAGCATAAACAATGATGAGTAGTCCTGGGTGTTGCAGTCCAACAACACTTTGAAGGCCACAAGGGTGCCATTCCTGATTTAAGCCATAATATGTTGCACCTCATCTAGGATGACCATGTTTGCTGTAAACTTGTGACAAGGTTGGCTTGGCTAACTTTTGAAACATCACATTAAAAACCCACACCAATCTTACTTCTGAGCAGGGATGGAAAGAATATTTGTTATTATTCAGTCCCAGCTTGAAAAAACAGGATTCCCAACAGTCAGGAAACTCCATCAAGCAGAGTAATGGGCCAGCAAAAATCTTGTGCAGTTTTGCCCCAGTATTCAAAAGTCCTGATGGACTGCAAACAAATTATTCTGCATAGAAAAATACATAGGGGTTCTTTTTTTTGTACAAAAACCTGTTTTCTGTGCATAAAACAGGTCTCCTATTTAGAAAACTTTTCAGTTCAGAAAACTTTTCTGTGTGCAAAATAACCCCCCCCCCCCAAATATTTTTCTGTGCATAATAACTCCTCCACAACACTTTGGGATGCTCAAACACAAGGAGAATACTACAGAGGAATGTTTGTTTTTTCCTGTGGAAGGAAGAAAACTACTGTACTTATTCATTCCTGCATGTGAGGAGGAAATATTTGAGGATTTGTATCCTTACCTTTAAGTAAGCCTTTTGACACCAATGATTTGTGCCTTCCAGCAGAATTTTTTCTTTTTGTTTGTCTTTCTGAGAGTGATGTAAAGTTTGCCTCCTACACTTCACTTTCAATTTGTCTTATTGACTAATAAAGGTGATTATATTCTAACTATACTATCATATTATATTGCAATATAAGTGCTTGAACTGGTGGTGATTAAAAGTACTTGTTGTTCAGTGCGCTTAAATTCTTAAATAAGTTCAAACTAGTTTTAATTTCTTTGTCCTTGCCTGCCTGCCTGCATTTCTTGGAATGAAAATGAACAAAAGGCATTATAGTTATTAGGAATGCACACTCCTCCAAAGAAATGCTGGGTTGTAAAAATTATTTTTACTGTTTCCCCTTTTTTTAACAGAGTGGAACAGAGAATCATGGACATTTCAACTTCAGGAGAAAGAATGATGAGAGAGGAAGCCACTGAATGACATGTGATACCAGAGAAAATACAAATGAGGATGAGATGGGGGTTAGAAATAGATATTTGGACTGTATACATTGGTAGTTAGAAGGCTGAGTTGTTGATAGTGGATTCTGAGCAAGATTTTGAAAAGACTGAGAAATGATGTTTCCTCCTTCTCCTTCTCCTGATTTGGCCAAGCAACATTAGGGCATAGTAAAAGTGGCAAAAGTATTAACAAAAGAAGAAGAAACAAGATGGGAGAGGCCACAGCAGGTTGCTTTTGCTGAAGCGTATTGGGAAGGGTAACATTCCCACTACTTTTGCACTTTGAACTGGGTTTGCAGCAATTAAAATAAGCTGAGGACAAAGGAATAATAATAATAATAATAATAATAATAATAATAATAATA